ATATGTTCTCGCATAATCGCCTCGGAAATAAACCCGGTACTGTATGCCCAACCTTCCTTAGCTGATTCCACTACGTACCAAACCTTTAACCGGTCCGGGTATTGCTCTGCCCAACCATCCAGTTCCTCCCTTAGGAGAATATCTTCCTCGGTCCGGTTAGCATAAATGACGTACATTTCAGTCTCATCCTCTGGATCCTTGAGAATGGCTTGGATAATTTGGTAAACCGGGGTTATTCCGGTTCCACCTGCCAACATTGCCAATTTATCAGCAAACTTTGGTTTACCGTGAACCGTGAAACTACCCTTGCCGAGATACTCAACGTGACCCAATGGTCCTTTAATCTCCAAAGTTGACCCTATAGGCAAAGAGTCTAGGTACTGAGACATGAGCCCGCCGTTAGGGAATCTTGGGTGGACACCGCCAAAGTAAATCTTGACCACGAGCTCGAAGTAGCCAACCACATCAACGGTGCTGCTTGGTGTGTAAGCTCTGAGGCAGAGCTTGTCATTGATGGTGGCGCAAAGGAAAATGTGCTTACCAACCGGTAAGCCTAGAACCATATCCTCAACCGGTAAAGCAAACCGGAATTTACGAACATCATGAGAAATGGAAGTCTTTTCGACGAGTTGAACCGGGACTTTAGCCCGGGGATTAACCAAAGCGAGGTTCCTAACCGGAGTCGCCTCTCCAATGGGAGCCAACAGCGAGAACACGGCGGATGAACCGTGAACCGAGTTGTTAGGCGAGGAAGAGTCAGAGGAATAACCAGTGGTGATGAGCTCACCGATACGGTAATCCTCAAGCATCTTCTTGGCTTTATCCGAGTGAATGGCTTCAAACTCCTCCGTACAATCCGTACCAGCATTGATCAAGATTGAATCCGAACCACCCGGGTGATCCATAAGGAATCGTGTACAATCATAGATATGTCCATGGACAATGATCCAGCAAGAGTCAGCCGAATTATGCTTCTTGACCTCGGACATCGAGTACATCTTCGCAGTTGTGTTCATAAACGGCGTCGAGACAGACTTCTTTAGACTAGGAGGCGCGTCAGCCGATTTTTCGAGGTGACGTTCCTTCGCCATCCATCCACCAGATTCATTACCAGGAAGCGTTGGATGCTCGAACACAATCCCAATCTCTCCCTTGTGTGGCTTGCACACGTTAGTCTTCACTCTAAACCAGCAGTTATTCATCATCCCCATGAGATTCCATATCATTTTCTCGGGCTGCGTGTTGAGAGTCTCGTCCCATGCACGAATAGCAATCTCTTTGGCACTAAGCAAGTCCAAAACCTCAACCTCAAGTGACCAAAAACACCAACACCAGAACTTCCCATACTTGTTTGGCTTCTCTTGATGGTCAAGTGCACATACGTTCCATGTCTCTCCACCATCTACCGTGACCTCCACACGGGTCACTTTTTTTCCACCTCCGGAATATGCGTAACCCTTTAAAGTATAAGGTCTTTGGGTTGTGAAAGCGTTGATGGGAAGAATCTCCTCGTGACATGGCGTCGTAATCACGGAGTTTATGTTTAGCTCGTTGATTATGTACTCTGGCTTATACCACCAACCTTCTTCGTCGGCGAGTTCGGCGTCTACCAAAGAAGGTAAAACTCTGTTGTCCTTGAAATGGTAGAAATTGTCGGATTCTTTAGTTGTGACAATGATTCGTTTCAACCATTTAACCATCCGGCCACCAATGAAACCGGGGATGATGATCCGAACCGGAAAACCGTGGTCTGGTGTTAGATACTCTCCGTTTTGCATATAAGCCAAAATGATGTCTCTTGATGGATCCATGGCATATTCCTTCTTGATGCTCGTTCCGTATTTGGAACCAGCAGTTCCGGCACCGCCCGGAAGATCCTCCGACCCTTCGAAGCAGACGTTGAGAGCGCCGCCTTTTCGGCTAAAGATCCCGCAGCGACGCAGTACGTCGCAGAGAGGGACACCACGCCACACGGAGGTGGAAACTCCGGCGGATCCCCAGTTGAATCCCTTTGACTTCTTCACCATGTTCTGTTCCTTACGGCGGTTCCCCGCGCAGACTAGCGTCGCGGCGAACTCGCGGTAAGCAAACTCGGAGACGAGCTGGTCCATGGTGAATTTCATGGGCCGTTTGACGAATCCGGTCACCTCGACCGTCCATTCGGCCCATTGGGCTTTAGGGACGTGGCCGTGGTTACGAACGTAGTGCAACGGGACAGGGGTGATAAACCCGTGGTGCATTAAACGGTTAAGAGGCGCCTCGGAGTTGAAGGGATGTTTCCCTGTGAGACGTACCATGGAAGGGTTACGCTCGATCCAGCTATCAGCCGTGTATTCGTCCCTCGGGTCCAAAACGGACGGTTCAAGCTCGGCGTTGGATTTTCTTA